CCGTGGCCACGGGCCGAGAAAATTATCTTCAATTATCTCGTGCAATCGTGAGCCCCCTTTGCTCTCTTCTCCTTTGCTCGCGATCTCTCGATCTCTTCTTCGCATTACTCGCCAACCTCTTCGTGATTTATTATTCATGGAAACTATTTCTTTATTCTATGAATTGGCGCATAAAAATATGAATTCTTAATACGAGTTCAGAGAAATGCGAAAAATATCAATTATTACTCCTTGAAGTAGGAAAAATCTCGAAATTCTCATTGGTAAACCTAACGAATCCGGATATTGGAAGTTTAAAAAATTACAAAAGAAAGACAGATACAAATATGGGGCAATTTTATACCAAGGGTTAATCACACGGGCCAGACATCCAAGTATTCCGCAATCTTTCGTTCCTAGAAAGCCTGTCGAAGCCATTCGCGGTAGCACCAAGAAAATTGCTTCATCGACACGATAAAATATTCCTCCCGCTTTTAGCTTAGCTTAGATTTCCTCGAAGTCTGATTTAACCATGGCGCAGTTAATGGAACGTCCCGTCGGTATTTATCAGTTATTCAAACGATAGACGCGCAAATTGATACATTAGACACTCGGTGGCATAACGGATCCCTTGGTCGATCTAGCAAGAACATTCTGTCCACTCTTCTTGCCGTTGCTCTTGGCTACATAATCGATGAGTTCCTTCCGAAGCACGCGATCGACCGCTTCGTCTTACGATTTACGTCGTATTTCCACCATCTTTCAAAGTATTCGCCAAGATCGAATCGTAGCGAGGGTTTCGTCGCCCACCGTGCGTTGCGCATTTGCTACTCAGGTTGCCTCGACGTTCAGTCCGCGAATCTCAGTTGCCTGTGAACGTTTTCTTACGCGGCTTACCGAAACGTCCGTCCGAATGGCTATTTTCGCTCAATATCCCGATCTCCGATAGTTGATGGCGTTGCTGTTCGTTTTTCATTGAAAGGTTTATCATTGTATCGTTGGCACGGATGTCAGGGTTTAATCTAATTTTGTTGAATTTTTTGGCGAAAGGTAAATGTAATTCAAGTTTGAATTGTTAATCGTGAAGTTATAGCGGTAAAGGAATTTTCTCTTTTTCCATTTGTATTTATTTATTGTAACTTATTATCCGATAGAATATACATATTTAGATTAACTCGTGAATCGGCTATTTAGTAAAGCGACTTTTCTTTTCTGTAGCGAGACAGAAAGTTTCTTCCGTTTGTTAAGACCATTCTTCCAAAGCTGTAGAGCTTCCTCGAAGAAGATGTGCGACGCAACAAAGCAGGAAGTTTAATTAAATCTGTATCACGTTCCTTCAGAATGGACGGTATCGTCTTGCGTATTAAATCCACAGAAAATGGTTGGTCCGTGCGTTTCCTGTTCGCTGAATTATTAATCATCGCACTACTTGAATTAAAGTTGCCAGCCTTCTCTAATCCTCGCATTAAATCAACCGCGCGGTGTAACGCGTTCCCGAACGAACGGAAAAGCGGAGAAAAGAGGAGGTTGCAGCAACGATATTTAGCCAGTTACGCAACCGGCTGCCACGAACAATTAAAATTTACCGTCCCGGCAACGATAAACACCGACAACGTAATCCTGGCGACCAGGTCGCGCATAAATTCCGCGTTTAAACGGTGAACGAAGCTCGAGCGAAACCGCGCGTGTTGCTCAAGCGGTTCAGGGCGTTCTCTTCCGGGCCCGAAGCAATAAAACCTGCTCGCCATCTTTCCATACGCCTGTATAGTCGTCGGGAGAGAAAGTTTCGAGTCGTAGCTGGCTCGATGATAACGGACAAGACGCGTGAAACGTTCGTTCGGCTTCGCACTTCCCTAAGACGATTCGAAGTAAAAGGAAATTCAGCTGACAGAGCTCGAGAAAAGATCGCGATAGAAAGAGGGGAAGACGTTTGAACGAGTAATGGGAAGGGGAGGGATACTATTAATTGACGAGGAGGACTCCCACGAGAAGAGTCCATAGACCATAATTCTTTCTTAATGCGACGCCTTTCTACTTCTCTCGCTCGCACCCTCTTCATTCGCCGCGTAATCTCTTTCCTCGCGACGAGGCAACACTCGGCCCGAGTGTTTTTCTATCCTCCGGTTCACGTAGAGGGACGAAGGAGAGTTGTATTGGGGCGGATCGAAGCCCACGATGACCAGATATTATGGAGCCATCCCCCCATAAAAGCCTCTGCTCACGGAGATTGAGCTCACCCCCTGTTTCTCGCCGTTTATTATTGCACGTCCGGCCACCACGAGTGGATTAAGACGAAACGAGGATCGGAAGTCGCGCGCGCGCACTCTACGGACTGCGGGTGTGATCGAGGAAACAGAGAGGAAATCTCCCTTTCACCCTCCACTCTCTTGGAATGGGGAAGATACACTGACCGGCAAATATTCGCCCAGCAGATACAGGAGAAAGCGGAATTATCGCTGGCGGGATATATTATCGTGGTGCTTATCAGACCCAGAGAGTTTGACGCGAATCTCTGATCTCTCGAGGTGATTAATATCTCAATAAAACGAAATTTCCGTTGGACGAAACAATTGATCGTAAGGAGAAAGAGTGAATTGAATTGCTAGAAGAATATCGATAACCTTTGTCGTGCTGATTTCACCCCCTAATGACTAATTGCATAATGAAGCGTTCCGTGCAAGTTATAACGAAGACCTTTGTGTTCGAGAAGGGTCTAAGGGGATGGGAGACACGGATTCTTAAGCGAGGAAAGTTTCGCAGGCCAATTGTTCCTCAGTGGAAATTCTTCAAAGCGGAAATTAATTGACAATTAACCGGTATTAATGCGCTCCTGGCCGCGATTTGTGTTTCGCGCAAGTGGCGCCGCTATTCCCGAGGGAGCTCGGTGGACCTTAATCGGCGGCGTCGTGTTCCCCCCGAGCGTCTCTCGTCTTCTCGTGTAAATTCGAAGGGATCAGGCAGAGAGAACTCGATAAAAAGAGCGCGGTGCTTTCTCTACGCCGGAGGCTTAGCCGCAAGGAGTGTCGAATCGACGGTAATTCCGTCCAATTAGGACACTCCCAATTAGAGGAGCCTTAGCCTGAACCCCGTCTTTCTTTGACCCACCCCATTTCCCTGTGATTCTTGCTCCAACAGAAACACGACAGCTCGTCGAGTTCCTCTTATCGAGGTTCTACGGAGAACGTTGTGTCTTTCTTAAACTTACTTCCTTCCTCAAATTCTGTAATCTGTACTACTATGCAGTAGTACTACTATGCAGTAGTATTAAGCGTCGGCTTAATTGCAGCGATTTTTTTTCCTTTCGCTTATTGCTAACTATTATTCCGTCTTTCTACCAGTTTTCGAAACTGTATCTACATAACTTTAGGATCTTACAGGCGAAAGTTACACATAGCACTACCAACATAGTACTTGTACCAAACTATACAGCGATAAAACTAAATCTGATGGAATACTCAGATCGTTTCTCTGCTGTGTTACAGGCCGCCGAGATCGAGAAGTCTCGACTGAGCGCGATGAACCCAAGCTTCGCAAACACGAACAACTCGAGCGAATCCACCGACAGCTTCCTGTCGTTGCTTATCCCAGCTCCTCTCCGCGAGACCTTGTGGACGACGGTGGCTCTGTATCTCGGATGGAGGTTGGTCTCTCGCCTTCGATAGGCGCAACAGAATTGTCGTTTCGTCGTCACGACGAACGACTACGACGCTTCGAGAACTCGAAGAACGATTACCCAAGCTTGCAGCCACATCAGGGACAGCCAGTACGACGTGTCGCTACTTGGTAAACCAGCAACTGTTCCTTCCTGGCCCGTTACACGCACCACGTGCGTCCGGATACCATCGTCCGGTATCGATCATTCGAAGGTCGAAAGACCGATAGGTAACCAGCAGGAAGGGCTCTGCTTGGACGATTCCCGCTGGACGTCCTACCGAAATATCCAACGCGATATCTTGTACGATTTATTTTCTATGTATGCGTGTCTATCGCCTTCCGCGGACGAGAATGCACTAATGCTATGTCGCCGTCGTCCTATCGATGGTGATGTTTCGAGCGAGGATGAATACTCGGAGGATGAGGAGGACGAGGACGAGGATGTCGAAGAATTCGACGAGTACGGAGGTATAGATAGCGGTATTGACGACGAGGATGACGAGGACGACGAGGATGGAGCTTGTCAACTCGTTACTTGTCAAGGAGTCAGAGTTATCTGAAGCCAAGTACCATTTCATACTTCTCTGATGTTTGTTGTTTGACGATGATTCGATGTAAAAAGGAGACCGATGTCGCGTACGTTCGAGTAACTCTGCCTCGACGACGATCAAAGACTCGCATCCGGAGTCTGTGTTCTTTTTGATTTGTCTTTTTCTTTCTTTTTTTAATGTTCCGCATCGACATCGGTCAAGCTCACGGTTACTTAGAGCTATAGTTAGTATCATCTTGCTCGAGAGAGTTCATCTTCCGCGTGATCGTCGCGCGATGGACTCGGGATACAACATCGACTCCCAGGTGCATTCTCGCCCGCGGCAGCGATCGACGTGTATTATCGAACACTGACTGTTCGTTCGATCATGCCGATCGTTCGCCTTCAGATTATATTGCATGGTGGAAAGTTAAGAAGATAATATAAATATATACATATATATATATATATATTGATTATTATATATATATTATCATATATATATATTGATTATTATATATATATATTATATATATATATATATTTCTCCCGGGTGAATTTACAAATAATATTCGAATAGAACGAATAGCGAAGGTGACGATCGCATTGTGACACTGGTCTTGGTGAGGGTGACGGGGAGCTAAGTACGAGATCCAAAGAGGACTTAACCCAATAATCAAATGCTGATCTCATTACGGATATAAAATAAAAAAAATTAAATAAAGTAGTGTGATCACGGGAACGGAACAGAGTAGACATGGACATTTTCGTTTCTCCGTACAATCTCACTTTGCTCTTCTCCGTCTGTGTTTTTTTTTCTTTTTCTTATTATGCATTTGCTTAATTTCTCGTACTCGTAAGACATTTCTCTGTTCCGTTCCCGTCGGTAGGAAGTATTTTGACGTGGCTTGTAGATAACGTGGTTACCTAGCCGATACAGGCAAGGCAGAACTCTATCTGAGATATCATGATACCGCGCCATGTCGTTCCGCGGGCGATCGACGATCCTCGAGGAGAAAAAGATGGCAAAAAGATAGAGAAGTCTGCCAAGACACATTTGTCGACAATTTGATTCAGATGATTTAAAGTATTCGGAATTGATCGATTCAAGGGTCGATTAATTACGATTTTTGAAGAAAAACGGCCGTGGATTAAGATCGATATCGCTGGACGTTCATGGCGATGGTCGAATCATCTGTACATAGAAAGATTTTCAAGGGGAGCTTCTCTCTCTCTTTCTCTCTAACTCTCTCTCTCAGTATATTCCAAAAGTAAAAGAACAAAAAAAAAAAAATAATACTATGAGAAGAAAAACTCAAAGAGAATAAAGAGAAGAAGAAAAGATAAGATGCGCGATTGAGCTGGTAGGGAAACGGGCGAGGACATGTAACGTGAAGAGGGGAGCAACGTATTGTAATTGTATAGAGGATTTAACTAAAATAATTAAAATTCAGTAAATAAGTCGACATTTAATAATTAAAGTAGATAATTGATAGATCGAGGATCGCAGCATCTTAATTGGCTAGCTGCGTGTCCCGTGGACAGTTTTCGAATGATCTCCGGTAGCTTAGCTCTTAGTGGCGCCCTCCTCCACGAAGGACGCCCTTCATGACACTCGTGACAAAGGATTTCTCACCCTTTGCTCCTGTGTGTGTCATTTTTTTCTATCTTTCTCTACTATCTTTCGTTTCATATTCCACATATTTTTCTCCATTTTCTTCTTCGTCTTCTTCTTCTGCTCACAGTGTCTTTCGCCGTAACGTTTACGCTTTTCTCTTGATGATCGACGCTCGCGTCTCGTCATTTCCATTTTTTTAAACAATCTCATTCTCTTCGCTCTATTTCACTTATCCTTTCTTCTGCTCTAATTTTCCTCTTCTATCTTGTTATTCATAGATTTTTACGATTCTGTGTTCTTTGAACGACCATTTTTTGTTTGATCTCGTTAATTAGCGTGTATTTAGGTCTTGGTTGTCTCGTATATTCGCGATTCCATGCCGCGTCCCGCCAAAATTGGCGCGAACGTTCGTAGGAAACTGAAAGTGGAATTTATAATTAAAGGATAGTTAGAGTATCCCTGTTTCGGGCCTCGTGCTGAGAGTCTCGAACGGGATGAAACCAAAATCATCATAAGGCTGTCGATACGATAGTGTATTCCCGTGGACCGTTCTATCTGTCTCTCTGTCTCTATCTCCCGAGTAAAGACTTTTCCTTTTTTATATATCGATTTTTTTAATTATATACATATTATACATATGTATGTATTATACATATATATAATTATGTATAATATACATATAATTATTAATATTTTTATTACAATTATTATTATTATATTATTATTATTATTATTAATATTATTTTTTATTATTGTTTGTTTGTCCATTTTTTCTTCCACTTTAGATAACAGATAAGGTTTCGTGACGTTCTCTGTCAAAGTATTCCAGTGTGTAGAAGATATAGTAGTATTTATTTATAGATAAAAACGTATTCATATAAGTCTAAATAAGATTGTACGAGTATTCGCGTTGATCGTATTTCTCGCGAGATAATTAATACTGCCATTCGTCCTAATGATGAAACGCGCGTGAGAGGTGTGTGTCGTTTATCGAATGAATGAACGAGTGCACAGAGATGTAACAGAAGCCATCAGCTCTGCCTGAATGCTTCTTCGAGGTAGCGTGTATATTTTTTCCCTCTAAACGAGAAAAGTAAAGACACGCCACTGCATAGAGAGGGAACACCCTTTAGAAAGAAAGCGTGCAGAAAGGAAGAATGATTGTTTGATTGATTCTCCGAGGAAGAATTTCGATTGGTCGTGTACAGGTGAGCCAAGCGAACGCGAGTACGTATTCACGGAAAACGTTGCTGTTCATCGTCCGGCCAATTCGAAATAGTTCGACGGACGGATTACTTAGAGTCTTTTGATGTTCTCGTCGTAAAAATAGTAATTTAATATAACGTATTTTTCACTGACTACTCGTCGCCAGAAATCATCGAACATGTTTCTGGGGAGCACAAGTTCTGTGCTGAGCCGACCATTTCTTTCGTTTCACCCTGCGATTTCGTCCGACGTGTGTTCGTTTTTGTTCTTCCTTTTGGTTGAATTAATTGGCGATAGTATGTTTGACAGGTGGTTAAGTCTTTAATCGTGTTCCGTTAGATCGATGAATAATTATCGCTTGAAGTTCGAACGACATTTTGTTCGACGTGATTTTTCACGGTGTTGCCCCAATCGTCTCCTCGTTCGATGGTAGTTAAACTCTGTTAGAGGTTCAGCAGAAACTTGTCTCCGGTTTTCTCGTCGTTCACTTTGTTTTCTAGAATCTGTTTAAGTTCTTTGTCGATCGAGTTTTCTTCTCTCCTCTCTATTTACCCGAGGAGGGGGTAAACACGAGAGTGAGCAGGATCGTCGTACAATTGTGATGTAATAAGATAGTAATTGCCATTGGCGTCGTGAGAAGGGAGCCGGCGAACAGGGCTCTCATCGCGCTCGCGAAACCTTTCTATATTAGCATTCCGACCAAAGGAAAAGGAAGTAGAGTTTGAACGTGAACGTCGTGTGCACGTAGTTAAACGCAAAATATTTTTTCGTTTTTATTAGATACTTTTTTCCCTTCCTGTTCGTTCCCTGCATTATCGCGGTGAAATCAGCGCCCAGAGATGGCCTTTGAGACCGCCGCGGTTATACTTAATGAAATCTCTCTCTTTCCGTTTGCGTTCTTTCATTTTTTTATTTTTGCCTATGTCCTCTTTGCGCGTACGTTAGCCAACGTAACGCGCAAAGGGGGAAAAAAATGAAATAGAGCACCGAAAAACACGAACAAATTTTTGCCCTGTGCAAAGCATAGCCCCGTTGTAGGTTTAAGAGTCAGAATAAAAGAAAACAATTAAAGAGATAAAATAGAAACCGAGGAAAACGCGATTAGTAAAACGAAATAGAAGCTATTACTACCAGTCGAGCAAACGATAAGCCAATCAAGCACATGGGATTAAGATTAAACGCGACCACAGGAAATAAGAGAAAACGCATGTACATAGCCGCTTGTTCGTGGGGCCGTAAAGTACCATAACTGTCTACGATTTGCTATTGTCCCCTGAACCTTTTTTTTTTAGTTCTCTACTTTTTTTTTCTTTTTTTTCGTTTTCTTTACGGTATCCTTTCCACCCGCCGTCTGTTCATTTCGTATTACTTTCCTTTTCATGTTTTGGTTTCAACTTTACCACGCTTTAGAAAAACAGTAAAAAAAGCCAACAATCCTCCTCCCCTTAATAGAAGCATTTTTACGTAGCGTAGTAGTCAGCCATATTGAGAATGTATTAATTATATAAATAAACATGAATAAAAGTATATATATTATAATGGAAAACACTTATATATATAAATATATATATATATATTTTAAATGGTATATTTGGATATATATATTATTATCGAAATGCTATTTCGAGGCATATTGTGCGGTATAAAAGAATATAGTGGTAGTGATGTATCTCAAAAGGGTGAGCCCGGAGAGAGAATGAACGATTGAGAAACAAAAGAAAGGATTTTTGAGGGGAGAAAAAAAATCGGAAAGAAGAAAGAAATGTGGAGGTGTTTCTCGTTTGAAGGAGATGATTTTTTGCTTTGAGATTGACAAAAATCCGAGAACGACAGCCGAGGCTGAGATATAAGCTATAACTGTGACTATGTGGATCGTGGGGGGCAGGCTGTGTTACGAATTTCTTCCTTTTCGACCTCGTTGTTACAAATTTTACTCGAGGACCACTGGCCAATTTCTTCGATTGATGTTAGCCGAGAGCCATGTTTTAGTCGACAGAAGAAAGAAAGAAATAAACCCTTCATAAGTCGAGTCAATAATTTTCTGGATCATCGAAGAAAATTACAAAAAAGAAAAAAGAAAGAAAACAGTCCAAAGAGTTCAAACAGAAATCAATCAGTTCGATCAGATCGAAGATAAAAAGAAAGGTTAGTCTAACGAGTAACTGGCCAACCAAATAGCTAAAGTCGAACAAAAGCAGCCCGCCTATCCGAGATCCCCGCGCGTCAAAGCGTCACTGTGATCTCGTAATTATTAATGAAATATCTGATTATTGTAACGAATAATCGTATGAATATTATAATGTACCCGTTCCCTTCACCCCTTCCCAATTATTCCCCTAACCCTTCGCAGGAGTAAGAGAGAGAATGACCCCGTTTAAGGGCGGAGAAAACGTGTTCGATTCTCGTATCGGGATCGAGAGCATCCTATAATACCTCTCGTATTTTGTTTTTTTCGTCGTTTCGTTTCGTTTTCGTCTCGCTCTCTTTCCTATTTCCATCTACATTCTATCCTTCTTTATTACTCTCTGCTTTTTCCTTTTTCTCTTTTTTTTTTTTTTAATTCGTTTCAACCAAATGAATTGGTGAATCGAAAGATTAATTCCCTCTTGTACGTGTTAGCTCGTAATCGTAATCATTAATCGTAAAACGAAACTTTCTAATGATCTCCCGGTGGCGCGCTCGAAGATGAGCAAACTGGTCTACGAACGGCCGGCGCGTTCTAATTTTCTTCGCAATTTTATTCGCTTTATTCTCTATCGTCTTTATCGACTCTCTTCTTTCTACTTTTTATCTTCGCCGTCAGGATCAAACGATATCGACACCTCGTCTTTTCTTCCTCTTCCCCTTTCCTGATCGCGCCACCGAACTTTTTATTACGAACGAAGCGGGCGAGCAAAGGGACGCTCGAAGAGGGCAAAAACGAAAGCGTGGAAAATCATCAAAAACAGTGTACGTTGTGGGGTAAATCGGTGAATGATCTCGCTCGATGGTTCTAAGCTGGGTTTACCACAACGGAAATTGATTATTTCGCTGTACGTTCCGCGCTCCATTAAACGCCCGCGAGCTTATCCTTGTATCGATCATTCATTATGGTTAATTAATCGCGCGTATCAAACCACCGCCAGTCGCATCGTGATAACTGTAAGCTTTCGAGGTTACAACACGGTGTTTAATAGATGATAGACTAGTCTTTTTTCGGACCAGTTATTGAGATTTTTCTATTTCTTGTTTTATTTCGTCCTTTTCTCTTCTTTTTTTTTTTCTTAACAAAACGAACTAAGATACGGAGATCTGTTGTTCTTCCTCTGTATTTGCTGTTTATTTGTATCTTTTGTACTTTGACTCGCGTGTGTGTTGTCGTTTTTTTCTTTTCTTCGAAGGTATTCCGGTTCCGTTTCGTTCGTTCGTGCGATAATTTTCAATTTCGTCGATGTTTGTCGATCGAGATCGAACATATCGTTATTTGACGA